GAGAGAGAGAGAGAGAGAGAGAGAGAGAGAGAGAGAGAGAGAGATTTACGACCTGTTAGATACTTACCTGTTTGAGCAGTTTCTGATGTTCGGTGGTATCAATTCCTTTCTTAAGGTGTAGATAAAGTGTAGATGATTCCCCCCTATTCCACTTACTTTTACACAGATATTTCTCAACTAAGCAGAAGCAATAATTTGAATTGCTTCCATTAGAAAATGGACGGCCATAGACTTAAATCTACAGTATTTACTTCTCAACCAAGTTCTTCTGTTTGGCTGATTCAGGGAGAGTTGCAGGGTCAAGGTATGAAGACAGCTGTAATCCGGCCTGTTTGTTCATGTGTGGGGGTATGAGTGCTTATGTTCAAGAGAAGAGAGAAAGAAGAATCTATTTTTAGTGGTGTGGAAGGCTCAGCAAGCAGCAGAGATTCCTACTGGTTAAGGTGGAGGGACAATATATATTTTTGCCAATTTCACAGTCTCTGCAGCAGATCCTCCCATGCTGGGTCAGAGAGACTGTCATAAGCCTGGAGTACATTGGTAAGAGACCCAGAGATAATAAAAAAGTAAATTGGGAAAACCATCTTCCTCCCAATCTGCAGGTAGGAAAATTTCATGATTATCATTGCTGTTGCTATCTTTTGGACACACTCAGTTGTATCAATGACCTTCCTAAAGTTCAACTCCCTGGAATTGGATGCCATGTTTTAGACATTGCCTGACCAACCCAAAATAGAAAGCAACTATACATCTCTTGATTTTGATCCTGTGCTTATGATGTTGCAGCTTAGAATTGCATCTTTCAAAAGAAAACCCTGAATATTATATTTAACTTGCAAGTTATTAAAATACCCAGAACCATTATTCATGTACTGCTGCCCATTATGGTTTTCTCCATTTCTTCCATCTCATTTTTCTTTCACACTTGCATTTGTCCCTCTTGAAATACATCTTGTTTTTTGCCCATTGTCAAGGTCCTGCTGAATCTTGATATTATTCTGTGTTGTTGGCCATGCTACTTTGGTGTCATCTGCAAATTTGATAATTGTGCTTTCTAACCCTCATCCAAATTATTTATGATTATAGCAATAGCAATAGCAGTAGACTTATATACCGCTTCATAGGCCTTTCAGGCCTCTCTAA